TCTGGTTGTGTGACCTCAAATCGATTTTATGTGGTTATTGTGAATGAGTTGAATAAAGTTTGACTTATCTGACTGTTTTGCTTCACTTAATGCGCCTTATAGTCCGAAAAATACGGTACTTCTTTGTTTATTTACGTAGCGACTTTAATCCTGGATGTCCGGCCCCCTGAGCAGTTGTGTTGAATAGCACTGATGTAGACTTTTCATGACAGTGGGTCAACTTTGAAGCCAAGAAAAAAATTGTATGCTCTTCTTGTTCAACAGAAATTCTAACCAAGCTCAATTAATTTCACAAGGCAGAATTTATAAACCAACACCTTGGAACTATTCCATTATCCATTCACAGTGATTTACTGAACTTTATGAATGAATATTGTGCCGTCTGGCACCAAAAATGCAATAAAATGTAATTCCAGTCACCTCATTTGGGACAACGCCGCCCCCAAAAGAAAAATAAATCCCATACCTGCCCCCCACACATAAAATAATAGCTCCCAAGGGAGCATTAAGGACAATTACTGTCTTTAATGATTTCATATTTGCAAACTCTTGCAACGGGAACACAATGCCAATGGCAATTACCGGAACTGCATTCAGACCCCGTACATCTGTGAAACCTGTGAAATGACAGGCTGTTGTATTGAGAGCAGGGTTCAGCGCAGCAGTTAGTCCCCAGAACAGCAATTATTCCCATTGTACGTGTGTAAAGAAACCGCCTATGCGACTGTTCTGTAATGATGGAGCTAAAAACAGCCTCAATGATTCGTCACGCAAATAATTTCGAGGTGGTAATTTTACCACGAGACATAAAATCTGCATTTCATTAGGACTAAATATACTCATATTTGAGCAATCTTGGGGGGGGGGGGGATAGCTTAGCGTGCCCAGGGGAGTGATTATATCTTTTTAATATCAGGCCACTCCAGTGTGCCACTGTGTGACATTAATGTCTTCCGCTAGGATTTATGGAGGCTATATTCTGCTTCAATATGGCGTCGCAGGTTTTATGTTTATCTAGAGGAAATCATGATGGATAGAAATAAGAAGGAGTCCGTTTTTTTGTGATTTCATCACAGACCAGACACAGCGAAACACAAAACTTTTAAATTCATGCACACAAATGTCCCCTGCTGTTCCCTGAGTTTTCCAGATTTGCTTCCCCGTCCAGGATTACTCGTCAGTAATCCACCCTTCCTGTTTATTCAGCTGAAGTGTAAACAAGGAGGATATCAGATTGAATTGAATCTCCTGATAACGGGTGTGCACAGTAATTGACATTCATGGCTTTGTCTCCATCTGGGTGCTGTGTGTAAGCGTCTCGCTCCACATCAAACGTTCCTCTGATGTCTGAACTGGAGAGGAAGTGAGACGAGCAGTATCTGTACGGCCACAAGAGGACACTGTGGTAGACGTTGTTTTCCCCCCATAGGATCTAAAGATCATCCTGTGTGAGAGGCACAAAGAGAAGTTATGTCCACAAGATTTATTATTGCTCGCCACCAAAAGCAATGAGGAGATCATTTTCTGTGTACATGCGAGTCTTTAGTTGTCTGTAGGAATGGATAATCACCTAAAGAACCACTGGACAGAGTTTAATGAAACACTCAGGAAGTAATCATTGGATGAACTTTTACAACTAGGGATGCACGATACGCATTTTTTACTTCCGATCCCGATACTTAAATCTGAATATCAGCCGATACGATACTTTTCTGATACCGTTCCAATATCATCATCATTATTGATTTTATATGAGGCTGTAATAATCTCCTCTCAAGTACAATTTGTACAAATATATGCATGCATGTTGTAAAGGAACATATATCTGTGAGATATTATTCATAAATTAAACGGATTCTTTCATTTTTCTGGACTGAATAATATCGTGCATTGAATAATTAAATGTGACGTGAGACGTTAATTTTCTTTGACCCATCAAAATGCATGCGGTCATTTATTAACAGAATCAAAGTTTAACATCAAACATTTACATTAATTTGGCAAATTGATTACAATAACACATAGCTTAATTAGCAAGCTTTACAATTAGGAAACCATACGGCCATGGTTTCCCTTGCAGCTTTTAAACCAACAGACATTTCTAAAAATATCTGGATGATTTACTGGCAAGATAGAAGAGTTTTAAAGATGGGGAATGAAGTTTAAATGGAGAGAAAGGATGGATGAGGGAATATGTGTCTGTATAACCAGAACAACACGCTCCTTTGGACCCAGCTTATCCCACGGTACACTTCGCAGTTGAAGATCGACTCTTTACCTTGCAGACGATAGTTCGGCCTCGGTGTAGAGTTCTCTTTCAACGCTTTCCAGCGTCTCCGTAAGGATAGCAGAGAACCGTTCGGAGTAGTGCCGGTACTTCGTTCAACAGCAAGTTCACCTCACGGGTGGACTCACATGAGGAGTAAGTTCGTCAGAGGTCCACTCAGATGTGGAAGATTTCATAATTCCCACGAGACTCGGAAGAACTTCGGATCATGTCTGGAACCTCCTGTTCTCTCCAGCACTTTTCTGTTCGGTTCTGCTCTCCGAACTGAACTGCTCTCCCACCGCACTGGTTGGAACTAGGAAGTGTCGACATTTAAAGAGTTCTGTTTCCGGTTCATTTGGGAAGTCCTGATTGGCTGAAAGCGCTAATCAGGGGTGTGTTTTAGTGATGTAAGAGGTTATTAAAAGTCAAGGAAAAAGATTAAATTGTTTAAGAACAGACAGAAGAATGTTTTGAAGAAACCGAGACATCGTGGAGTCAGTTCTCTCATATCTGTCTGAAAAAGTTAAACATGACATTTCTTTCCAGTAAACATGTAGTTGACCGAAACTTGACCTTTGACCGACTTACACTTGCTCATTTCAGACAGAAGATCAAGAAAATGAATAATTACTCTGTAACAGACCTTAACTTGATTTCTACTTTGAATGAGGATTAAAAATCATTAATACTGTTTCACAGTTGATTTAAAATGAGTAGTTCACTTCAACATTTAAAATGGTTTGAACTAAACACACTTTGATTATCAAGACATTTGTAGAATAGTAATGATAATAAAAAGAGTGTTCTTTCAATTGATCAGTGCAGGACACTTAGAAAGTCTCTGGATGGACTTGATTTTGTGTTTCTGGACTCAAATCAATGAAATACAGTTCTTGTCCCAGGAAGGCCCTCAAGGTCAGGATTTGACCTGAGGCTTAGTTCACTACAATGTCCAAAAAAGGCAACTTGAGGTAAGTTTTATTAATGTTGGATAAGTTTAAAAGTTAGAATTAAATCCTGCTAACACAAAACTTTTTATTTTTTATTTTTATTCCTAGCTTTAAAGTGGATACTAAAATGATTAAAAAGCTTCAAACATCTGCTAAGTTCATGACAAAAACCAACACAGACATGTTCCTGTTTTTAATATTTTACATCGCTTCATAATGTAACTGTTTTTGTTTCATTTTTTTTTTTAAACATAATTTTCTTGTATTTTTCAATTCATATGCTTTTTTATGATGGTCTACTGTTGTACTGATAAGTATCTCCTGGAGGGTAAAGTATATATTGGCTGCAAGTATTCAATCAAACTGTGAAATCCTTCGTTTTTTACAGCTGATAGCGGTTTGTCATTAATTACGATGAAGTTTAGAAACTTCTCGGTAATCCCTTTAGCTTTCACGTTGTCCAGCGGAAGTTTACCTTGCTGTTGGAACGACTCCAGAAGTGATTTCTGCCGACTCCTTTCGTTTTTCTCCCGCCTGGCTAAACTATTCTCGTGCTCGTTAATGTGGTGCTTTTTTCAAATGTTTAAGTTCGATGTAATGTAGGCCGTGACGGCGCTTCATCCTCTCAGTACGCGGCTCTGCAGACATTGCACGTTGCTGTCTTGCGGTGTTTCTAGTGTAAAATACTTCCACACAGCGAACGTGTTTCGATGAAAAGTTGGTTAGTCGTTAGCCACAGTGCTACTGCACGTTTTAGCTAGCTGCAACGATGAAATGGATTTCCTGAATGTGAGGCGGGTCTTATACTCTGGGTTTCATGAGACACGCCTCCGTTCAGGAAATCCATTCCATAGTTTGCAGCCAACCTTCAGAGCAGCTGGCAGGGACTCATGTGGAGACGTCTCAGCAGACATGCATCATGGATTGGAAATCTCTGCAGGTTGGATCGGAAAAATCCGACATGTAAATTATGCTGGTATCGGAACCCGATACCGATATCAGATCGGCCCCGTCCCTATTTGGAGTCCACCCCATTCAAGATGGCTACCATAGCTAATCAATATTATCAAATACGTAAATCGCTGCAAGTCAGGCAGCTTTACAGATACTGATCTAAAATTTAGTGTAGTAGTAGCAGAAGGTGATTCCCAACACATAGTCTGAGTGCTAACTAAACATAAAAAATCCGTTTATATAACCCTGTCGTTAAAGTTTCAAGTCTACTGAGTCTATCTGTTAGCAAAATATCTCATGAATTCCCGAGCAGACTTTATTGAAAATAAATCAGAATGTAATCACTGCATGTGCATTTACAGCTGATTAACTTTAAATATCAAAATATTGTGATCACAGCTTAGGTCATTTACAGGATTTGACTTAAACGATGCCCAGAAATGCTGCGGGTGATGTTAATTTTTTATTATTTTTTTAATTTCCCCTTTATTTATACAGGTAGTCTCATTGAGCCAGGAGAACTCATTTTCAAGAGAGACCTGTTTAGGGAGCAGATAGTGGGGGTTGAGGGCTTTGCTCATGGACCCAGAGTGGGGCAAATGAGGGTGGAGGCAGGTGTGGGTGTTTCACCTTTTCCACCTACATTTTGATGTTGACAGTACCGGAAGTTGAACCTGTGACTTTCCGATCATAGGCCCATCTTCTCTAACCTCTGCGCCACCACTCCCCCATTCATTTAACGAAAGCTAGGCTTATGATTCAGTTGATGGTTCTTCTTTGTTTCTATACTGTTTTATTTATCTAAATGTGACTCTGCTCCATCACAGAACTTCCTGGTCCTCCAACCAACATTGCAATTACCAACACTGGCCCACGTTCCATCATCCTGCAGTTCAAACCTGGCTATGACGGCAAAACTTCGATTTCCCGTTGGCTGGTGGAGGCCCAGGTGAGCCAGCTTCCGTTCAGCGCTGATGTACAAATTGTCTAAACTCTGTTTTTTTTTCTGTCATGAATATAAATTTGATTTCCTCAGAGGCTTGCAGAGTTTGCACTTACTTGCTGCTCTTTGCTGTTTTGCTTCCAGGTGGGGGTTATAGGAGAAAATGAAGACTGGGTGATTGTCCACCAGGTTTTCAATGAGCCTGAGGCTCGCTCCTTAGATGTGCCTGGTCTAAACCCATACACCTTTTACAGGTAACCAGTTTAGAACCAGATCACATTCAATTTCAATTCAGTTTATTTATATAGCTCGAAGTCACAACAGAAGTCGTCTCAGGACACTGAACAGAAACATTCACAAACATTAGAAACGCTAATTAGTAAAGTTCTCTATCTAAGGAAGAAGCAGACATGTTGAATTGTCACTTCGTCACAGTCTCCCATCCTGAGCAAGCACATTGGGAACAGTGGAAAGGAAAAACTCCCTTTTAACAGGAAGAAACCTCCAGCAGAACTAGGCTCAGGACGAGCGGTCATCTGCTTCAACCGGCTGGGGTTTGAGAGGACAGGAAGGAGAGACAGACGAACACAGAATGACACGTCCAGGTGTACTTTCTATAGGAGGAAAGTAAAAAAAACACACGTTAAGATGCAAATAATTACATATACAAACGAGTAGAGCAAGTAAAGACAGCAGAAGAACGAGGAAATGTGGTCAATTTGTCCTCCAGTCATCTAAGCCTTTAGCAGCATATCTAAGGGATAGTTGGCACAACCCTAACTATAGGATTTATCAAAAAATAAAGTCTTAGTTCCGGTCTTAAAACTGGACAATGTGTCAGCCTCATGGACAGAAACTGGAAGTTGGTTTCACAAGAGAGGAGCCTGATAACTGAAAGATCTTCCTTCCATTCTGCTTTTGGAAACTGTAGGAACCACAAGTAAACCTGCAGTCTGAAAGCAAAGTGCTCTGTTAGTAAAGTATGGAACAACAAGATCTGTGATATAAGATGGAGCTAGGTTGTCCAGAGCTTTGTAGGTTAGAAATAAGATTTTGAATTTTATTCTGAATTTGACAGGGAGCCAATGGAGAAAAACTAAATTAATAATTCCAGCTCGCACTTCCTGGGTTTATTTCGTGGCATGTTTTGGGTCATTGTCCATAAGAAAATAGGTCCAATCTGCCAAAGCGCCCTATACCTATACAATTCACAATTCAACAAGCTGCTTCTGTCTTCTGCCACAACTCATTGACCCGTCAGAAGCCCTGCATGCAGGTTCCACCGTTCTCCCTCCAGATGTTTTACAGATGGGGTTCTGTTATTCGCATTGTGAAACTTAACAAGTCGTCTCCATACTTGTCATTCTTTCCATCGATCTCACAAAGGTCAGTCTGCGTTTCATGTGTTAAAGCTGCTCCAGACTTTTTAAAATGATTTCCAAAGAAAACGGCTTTTTCAGTTTTCAGCGATGATGAATGTTTCGGTCTTTATGAAGGACTTGGACTTGGATTCCTATTTGCCAAAGCGCATTGTTGATTTGGCTGAATGTTGCGAAGAAGTGTTTAATCTGTCATGGGAGTGATACTGTAATTAATCTTTGTATAACTGCATTTAGTTTAAAAAAAGAGAGGACATTTCATCTATAATACTCGAACTCTTGTTTCAGTTAACGTGAAAAACTCTCAAAACACCTCAGTAGATCAACTAAATGCATCAAAATTACTTTGAACTCTTCTGTTTGCTTTGATATAGTGATAAACTAGGAATTAGGTGTGAAGCAGCTCTTGATCACACGTTCCTCACATTAAGCTTGTGCATCATGTGACAAAAACAATAATTAAGGTGAACTCCTTTATCTCGGCTAATTTTAGCATTTCAAATAACTATTCCTCATTTTGTTTTCCTTTCATGTCAGTATGAGATTTGCTGGCTTTATTTGGTTTTAAAATGATTTTTCAGCCCTTGTTATGATCCTTTCCTGTTCAAGCTGTCTGCTTGCTTTTTGTAATCACATTTAAATCGGCCGATTCGCTGAGCCGATCCCTGAAGACCCACACCAACTGGAGTTCTTCTCATTCCAACATCAGTGCTGCCACTTCTCACTACAGTTAAATGCAAAAAACAACAAATGCTTTATATTCAGGCTGTAACACAGACAGACTTTGCTCAGCGTGTTTATAATGTGTTCATATTCAGCTCCTCCGGTCTCGCTCAGATGCAATGAGCCCCCTCGGACATGCAAACACTGCAGAACTGATTTGGAAGGCGTGTTCAAAAAGTTGATTTTTAGTCTTTCATCGTGTCCAAACTTTAGGTTTCGGATGCGTCAAGTCAACATCGTCGGCACGAGTCCTCCCAGCCAGCCATCCAGGAAGATCCAGACCCTGCCGGCTCCTCCTGACATGGCGCCCGCCAACATCACCCTACGCACTGCCAGTGAAACCAGCCTCTGGTTAAGATGGATGGTAAGAACAACTGTCATCTGCAAACCAGCTTTGTTTCTTCCTGAGTCAGAAGACTCTGATTCAAGCTTTGATAAATCCTTTTATTCACGTGCACAGCCTTTGCCTGAATGGGAATACAACGGGAATGCCGAGCAGGTGGGCTACAAGGTCCAGTACTACCGTGTGGGTTCGCAGGGCCGCGGGCTGACCCACGTCATCACCGACCGCCTAGAGAGAGAATTCACCATCGAGGACCTGGAGGAGTGGACTGAGTACGAGGTCAGGGTCCAGGCTGTCAACGGCATCGGGTCGGGACCCTGGAGCCAGCCGGTCAGAGGCAGGACACGGGAGTCCGGTGAGTCCGCTCACCTTCTGCAAACATCTGTTCCAAAACACGGAGATGCAGCTGTTTTCTTATTAAAGTCACGTTTCAACTAGAAAAATACATTTTTATGCCAAAATGGAGTGTGAGCATTGAGTGCTGAATGACTTGGATGTAGCTAAAGAAGCTGAAGTTGAGACAATAAAGCTTAAAGTAGCAGATTCATAGCAAAGGGAGAAAAAAGGCGGCTAAAGGCTAAAGTTGTTGACGTTGATCTTATACTTTTATCTGTTTTATCTGTTTCATAGTTTTACTTCTGTAGTTTTATCTATTTTTATTGTTTGTTTATATTGTTCAGCATGTGGTTGTTCTTGTTGTCTTTAAGAATCCTTTATAAATAAAACGTTAGCCGAGAGGAAAAAGTAGCCAAAGGCTAGCTAAAAATAGCAAAAAGTAGACGAGGGCTATCTAAAAGCTAAAAGTAGCTGAACAGTAGCTAAAACCTAAAGAATCAAGAAGATAAAAATAAAGCAAATATGAGATTTGAATGAGAATATTTTTGAAGGAACTGAAAAGATCTCAACGTGTTTCTGTGGGAAAAATGTTTGTAAATAAAGTTAAATGTTTTAAAACTTGTATAGGTTGCAAACATTAAATGCTTTAGCACCGATCTGACTGATTCTGAACGTTTTGATATAAAAAGGGCTAAAGCAGCACAAAGTAAGCAAAAGTTACAAAGTAGGAGAAAATCTGCATAAAACAAACAGTAACAGGAAACAGCAGATGCTGAATCATGTAGTATAAGTATAAGTAATAATCATATTTTTGACTGTTTCATCACATCACATACACACAAGGGACTTTTGTCTAACTGTACATTCATATTCTGTGCAACAAAACCTTCTCAAGTTGACATATTGGAGCCATGACAAATGGTGAACCTGCTGATCACACTGTTGGATTCATCAGCAGACAGACTTCAGTTCTCACATCTGCTCTCAGACGGCTCAGCAGACGCTGGGCAGAGTGGGATGAAAGGGGTCTGAGGAAACTGAGAAAACATGGACTTAAATTTGAAACGCCTGTGTCTTTATGTCCAAACGTTTAGGAATCATGTATTTTGCTTACTCGTGAATGCCAAAGTGGAAAAAGGCCTCTTTGTTAAGTTTTTTTTTTCTTTCTAGTAACCTGAAGAATAACTGGATCACTCAAACTGCTACATAATAAATATTCTAGAAAGTTAAATATGGAGTTCAAATCTAATATTTTTGCTCGTCTGCGCTCTTTCCAGTCCCCTCCAGTGGACCCACCAACTTGTCTGCCTTTGCCACCACCTCCAGCAGCATCCTGGTGCGCTGGTTTGAGGTTCCTGAGCCAGACAGGAACGGTCTTATCCTCGGCTACAAGGTTTGCTGTGCTTTTTTTTTAATTTAACTATTCATCATGTAGGTATAGACTTATATTTTTTTTGTGTGTGCAAATTATTTTATCTTTCTTCATCCTTAAAGTGACCTTAATTTGACTCTCTTGCTCATCTCCTGATCAGGTGGTGTATAAGGAGAAGGACTCGGACACCGCAGCCCATTTCTGGACGGTGGAAGGGAACGCCTCCCACAGCGTCCAGCTGACTGGTTTGGGGAAGTATGTGCTTTACGAGATCCAGGTCCTGGCTTTCACGCGGATCGGAGATGGACGGCCAAGCTCTCCGCCCATCCTGGAGAGGACTTTGGATGACGGTAGGGATTTTTTGCATAGGATATTTTGGGATGTATTTGTTTAGTTTGAAAAACGCTGAAAATCTGTATTCTAAAAAAAAAAAATCTGTCGGCTGCTTTGTTGCAGTGCCAGGACCTCCAGTGGGGATCCTGTTCCCTGAAGTGAGAACCACCTCTGTTCGGCTTATTTGGCAGTCGCCTGCCCAACCAAACGGCATCATACTTGGTCAGTACCATACACAACCCTTTTCTGTTTGGAGATGTGCTCTTTCATTTCCATGTCTGGATAAGAAAATGCTACAATTGAATCTAGAAAGCAGTAGATTCAGTTTATTGCGTTAAATGCAATGTGGCATCAGGCACACGGATGTAGCTCCTGAAGACTTTCATCATAATGGATGTCTCATCTAAACGGATGAGACAATGTTCAGCAGACTAAAATCAGATTTAGATATTTTTGAACATTGCTGAAAAGGGAAACGAGGTATTCTACATTTGTTTATTGCGTGCCACTAAAGGCAAAGAGATAATGGTTTATCCATGACTTTGCTCATTAGCAATCTAATTAAATACCAAAAAAAAGCTACAACTCGGATAATTTTACAAATATTGAGCTACAATTTAAGTAGAAGCTGAAAGTCATTCTTGAAAAACATAATCTGAGCTCTAAATGATCAGGCAACTATTGTTTGTCTGTCTGTTAGCACAATATCTCATGAGTCACTGAATGGGTTAAAAAAACTCAGAAGGTAGTCATTGGGTATATCTACTTCTACAACTCAATAACTTTCAATCACCTGATTCAAAATGGCTGCTACTGCCAATGGAGCCTAAGAATCACAAAAATGGCAATAGATTAGCCAGTTTTACAGATGTTTGTTTAAAAAATGTGTTTATAGGATTATAGTTAAACTTTCAGAAAGGATGTACAGCTACAATACAAGTTTTGTAAGCTCAATCATCCAGGTACATAAATACATTTAAAAAAGTTAAATCGTGTCATCTGGACTGATTCTTTTTGGAAGAAACGTTTTGTCTTTCATCCAAAAGACTTTATCAGTCTGAGGCCTGCCACCAAGGCCTGCCACATAAATAGCACCTTACTGATGTGTTTCAAGCCAGCCTGTTGTGGGATTGTTTTGGCACCTGCTTCGAATGTTATCAGCCATTAAATGTCCGTTATTTGATGCCATCATCTCCATAGGTTGCGTTCAGATGTCCCCTCCTGTACGTCCTAATAGATTTAAAGGTACGTCGTTATCGCTGATAATAGGGACACGTGGTTAGGTTGAGTCATGGGTAAGGGGTTAAGTTTAGGGTCAGCGCTCTGGGTCAGGTGTAAGGTTTGGTTTAGGAAAAGGGTTAAATAAAGGTAACAAAAAACCTTCTGCTTTTAAATGCATACGACGCTGCACATTATCAGTGATAACAATGTACCTTTAAAACTACTAGAAGGAAGGAGGGACAGTCTGAACACAACCTATGGGAGTGATGACAACTAATAATCTTCATTTAATGGGCTGATAACATACGAAGCTGCTCGTTTTGGACGGATGGTCCACTTTTTACATGTGTAATCCAGTTTCTGGGAATTGCACAGCAGGCTGGCTTGAAACACATCAATAAGGTGCTATTTATATGACAGGCCTTGGTGGTAGACCTCAGACTGATGAAGTCTTTTGGATGAAAGACGAAAGGTTTCTTCCAAAAATAATCTGTCCAGACGACGCAATTTTACATTTTTGTGCTACAGCTAGAACAAGTTAACCTAATTCAGGATAGACAAGTCAGTTAATCATTATTAGCTAACTCAATTGGTTATAACTTTTTTCCATTTTAAAGATACTGAGCTAAAGTTTTGTGTGGTAGTAGATGATTTCCTTTGAGCTCTGACACATCTTCACAGTATTGAGCAAGATTGTGCATAGAGTCATCTATAAAGGTTGATCGGATTAGCGCTGTCCTTTCCCAATACACATTCCTTCAACAACCATTAGGCCTTTCATCTAAATGGATGAAACATCTTTCAGCAGAGGAAATCAGATTTTATCAATTTTTAATACTGCTGAAAAAACAAAAATAATTTGCTTGTGAGACTTCGATTTCTTGTATATCTGGAGGATAATTTAGTTTTTCTATTAGTTGTCATGTAGGATGGAGAAAATCATTTGTTTCCTCCTGTTGTAAGGGAAACCAACTCCAACTTACTTCAGCTTCAATTATCGTTTTTGTGTCTCCAGCTTACCAGATCACATACCACATGAACTCCACCAACAGCAACGCCGCCACCGTGGACGTTCTGAACCCCAGCGCTCGTCAGTACACTGTGATCAACCTCAAACCCGAGTCCGTTTACGTGTTTCGTATCACCGCTCAGACAAGGAAGGGCTGGGGCGAAGCAGCTGAGGCGCTGGTGGTCACCACGGAGAAAAGAGGTACGTCACCGCGGGATTTACTAATGAACATATTAGATTTCTGTTTGTGGAAGATGATTATCTTAATCAAACTTGATTGGTTGATTTATTTTGATAGCAATGTAATTTGGAGCTCATTAACAAACGAGATACATGTAAACTGTTTTGCCGATGAAGAGGCACAGATGTGCATCGCAACTTGTTGAGAGCTACATAAAGCCATTCTTGAACTTTCAGAAGTTAATTTCCAATCAACACTTCACAAAGCAGATGTGTTTTCTAAAGGGGAGTCTGTGCACTGGGGGGGTGTGGGGGTTTATTGAATGTTCTGCGATGCAGTTGTGAGAACGCATCACTTCATCTGCATCCCTCAAGGCATGTGGTGGATTGTTTATTCTACAACTTTCATCTCTCATCTGCTTTTCGTTCCATCACCAGAATCCCACTCAGCCTATGCAGATGGGAGCAAAATTTTCAAAACTCATTTCTCATATCCTCGTCCACACAGTCCTCCTCCATACTTCTTTTCTAATCATCTTGAATTTCTCCCAACTAAATTGTCTGCGACTCGATTCTTATTCTCCTCCCTCGTATGGCTGCTCGTTCCAGTTCGTCCCCAGCCCACCAGCCGTCCCATGGTTCCTCAGAAAGACGTTCAGGCCCGCCATGTGCTGCTGTCATGGGAGCCGGGCAGTGACGGCCTGTCCCCTGTACGCTACTACACCGTGCAGTTGAGGGAGCTGCCTGACAACAACTGGACAGTGCACTCTGCCTCTGTTAACCACGAGGCTACATCCTACATCGTGTCCAGGTAGAGTTTGCCTCTCAGATACCGACCTCTGATTAGTCAGGGGTGAATTTGTACTCTTCTTTTTTTTTTTTATCTTAAATGGCTTAAAATACAGCTCTGTTATTTTCTCAATGGCACTAATGGACTTTTCTCCACTTTTGTCCCTAAGGCTAAAACCCTTCACATCCTACCAGTTCAGAATAAAAGCAACCAATGACATAGGGGACAGTGAGTACAGTGAAGAGAGTGAAGCAATTACAACTCTACAGGATGGTAAGATCTTAGAATATTCTATCTATTCACAATGTTGTACATATTTTCCTTTTTTGACCGTTTCATTCATGGTTTTATTGAGACTGTTTGTTGGCCGGTGCATTTTCTTTTAATTTCTTTGATCTGTTGAATGAAGTCATTTTTGTTCCACAAGAAAACAGATTAACTGGTGAAGGTAAAGTGGAATAAAGGAAGGGATCCTTAGAACAGTTTTACAGAATGGCAATGTGGCACCTTCCTGCAGGTTGGGGCTCAGGTGAGGCGTGTTAACTTGTGCTTTGGGGTAAAACTATTGTGAAGCGAAAAAATGAAGGCAGCATTTCAAGTCAGATTTTATGGATTTAACACTGGACAAATTGGTGACAAAGCATTATTAGCTATTTTCCCCAACGATAAATGGATAGTTTGGTCATTTCTAGGTAATGTTCGGTCAAATCGGACTCGACGCCAGAGGGTGGGCCCCAGCCGGCCCGCCCATTCAGGTATCCCCCTCCCCCAACAAGACAGATTACACCACCATGTAAATCAATTGAACCTATGCAATGTATTGACTCAAGACAACCAGCAGAGGGTGCTGTAGGGGATTAAACTGGACTTTTAGGGGCAGTAAAGAAGACCAGTTTCCCAACCGCTAATAATATCACAAGGAGAAGAAGGTGAAGCAGACATTTTGATAAGGTAATATGCCAAAAAGAGGATTTTCGTACTCAAGAGTCTGAAAAGATGAACCTGTTCAATGCATATTTACTACAGAGAGGCGAAACATCTTATCGAGTTAAATGATTTTTTTTTTTTTTAGATGGATTTTCCACAGAGGTTTTTATTTGCACGTCAGGTTCCTTCAACAAAAGAGTGAAAATGTAAAAAATGTTCAGTATTTTTTATTAATTTTTTGCATTTTCACCTCTCTTCAGGTTCAAGTTCATGTACAGTTGCCTTCAAGTTTCTGGTATTAATGAAAACCCAATGATTAATGCAGTGATAGTTTGTAAGATTTATGCAGAATTTGTTTATATGCAAACTTGAGCACAATTTCTCAGCATTTTCTGGTGACTACCTGTCACTGTTTATTTGTGTATTAATAAACAACATATGGTATGGTTATTTCAGTTGCAAGGTTATGTAAATATTTATTTATGCATTTATATAAAATAAAATGACTATTTACTGCTCCCCCAGCTAAATTCTCCTGGAGCCGGGAATGGGTCAAATATTTATCAATGATTTATGACTTATCAGCTGTGACATCAGTCATAGAGCACGGAGTCTGGAGGAAAGGGCACAAATTTTCCTCCAGGCTAGATTACTGACTAACCAAACGAGGGCCTTCTTTTAATATTTTTGTGACATATAAAACAAGATCCTTTCAAAGGTGCCTGTGCTGCTGGATGTACCGCCCTCCATGATCAGCACGTCTAGTCATTCAAAAGTTTATTCAACTCCCGGCGATACATCTAACAGCATAAGGATACCAACATTTAAATGACCTATGATGTGCACACATACATGTTGAGAAACTGTGACAAACCGAACAAATGGTGTCATACAGAAATGTAATACTAGAAAGTTCCTGAAGAAACTTTGATGGGGACTGCCATGTGGTGGCCATTAAAAATTTGATTTGACAATATTATGTGTTGAGGTTCGCTCTCAGCTACCACCATACCAAATTTTAGCTTAAAATGGCAAAATATCAATGAGTTAGTCATTTTTTTCTTTTAATCTATGGTGGCCATCTTGGATTTTTGATTTGGATTCAGTATGTGATGGGGAACATTCTCAGCTATAACTACACCAAATTTCAGCTTTATGTGTAAAAGTATCCGAGTTGAAGCCATTTAAATTGAGCTTTGGTGGCCATCTTGAATTTTTTAAAATTCATTATTTATTGGGCATTGGTCTCAGCTACTACTAGACCTGTTGCGATGAACAATAAATCAATTAATCGCACGATGAATGAAAATTATCAACCTCATTTTCATTTATCAGCTTTATCGTTTCTTCGTGTCTTTCTCTTTCTACTGAAGACACCGGATGACAAAAGGTTAAATACACGTACTCTACTCTCTCCCCCCCCCCCCCCCCCCCTTTTTTTAATTTATTTATTGTTTTAACCATCCGAAATCGCATTTTTGGATCGTTAATAGCAGCTAAGCTGAGAAGCTAATCTACGAGCTAAGCTAACAGGCCGACCTCAGGAATCAACCTCCATCTTCTCGAAGCACCAAAATTTATGGTTTAAATCTGTGCCTTTGTGTAAAAAGTTGTTTTTCTCTGCAAAAAAAAGCTGATAACTTGTTTACTGTTTTTTTTATTAAAAGCTTTGTGTGAAAAATGCTATGCTAAAGAGCTCAAATCACCGCCATGTCAGCCCATGTCACGTCAAGGGCCCTCCCTCTCCTTTTTCTTAAAGAAACACGCTGCTCAACTATCCATCCTTTGGTTCAAACAGTCTTATACTGTCATCAGGTGGTCAAAAAAGGTACTACACTCAAAACAAATCAACATTTCTTCTACAATTTGACAATAAATGTTCAATTTCAAACAACGTTATCGTTTATCGCAATCATTTCCGAGACAATTAATCGCCCAGCAAAATTTGTTATTGTGACAGGCCTAGCTACCAACACACCAAATTTCAGCTTAATATTCCTAAAACTGGTGTATTTACAGTAATTTTTCTTTTTTAGCTCAGGTGGCCATCTTAAATGTTTGATTTGCAACCAGAGAAAAATGACTAATAAAAATGGCGTCTTTGTTTGCAAATTATGTCGCCATGGAAACTGGTAACGCCAATTAAAGTAAAAGCACACATCACGGTGCTGAGCCGGTCTTTTTTAATATAACATTTGTCGGGGTACGCATTGCAATTCGAGCCGCATTAAAGTTGACGGAAGAGTAAGATGTAAAGTTAAGAAACCCTTGTCAGGTGGATAATAATAGGTGTCTGCCTTACCAGGCATTCCCCGATTAACTAATGTAACATTCTTTCACACAAGTACGACATTATGGAGAAGGAGTTGTTTTCTAAGCCTGAAAAAAATGTTTAAAAAGCCCATATTTGGCTAACATCAGCCCAAGACTTTTACACTTTTCATCACACTCTGTGTTCAGTGACTGATGCTATGCCTGATAAGGTACTGACTATTTAACAGAACATTACCTTAAAATGACCCGACTATTACTTTTAAAATAAAAGACATCAAAAGCAGCATGCTATAGATAAACTAAAAGTAACTGCAAAAAAGTAAAGTGAATACAGTAAACGTACATATACAGTAAAATGAAAATGTTATTTTTTATTAGTTTATAGATAGGGTTGTCAGACATATGTTATCGAACACAAATAGATTAATCGTATAGACGTTTAAGAAAAAGTAGCAAGAATAGTAAAATCATCATGTGGAGGATTGTATGAAAGGGTTTATTGTTTGCATATAATTAATCCATTGTCGGGATGCGTACACTGTTGGTAAAAGCAGCTGGTTAATGTGTGCTCCATCTTTGAAACCTTGCTAAAACAAAAGCTTTCCAAATGTTGCTTTAACCATCTGAAGTAATGTCTTTTTCCTGAGCTGTGCTCGACGCAGTGCAGAACTCAGCGGTCAATGCTTCTTCTGTTTGTGTGTTTGTGCTCCCTGAATGCCACAGCTCATGGACAGATTTAGCGCACTGAATGGTGCACATTTTCGAGTCGATTTAGCTAATCTATCTCACTTTTATTGCCTCAGCGCCAGACGAAGCGCCCACAATTCTCTCTGTCACGCCGCACACAACGACGTCGGTGCTGATCCGCTGGCAGGTAAGGGCAGACGGCAAAACAGATTTTTCTTGTCTCATTGTTTGCAAAATCCATGATCTATTCAGGACGGAGAAAGCTGCAACTAATAAGAGAGCGTGACGGTGCAAAGCCTGTACTTGTTGAGTAGATTTTTACACACATCCTGCACTCTGTAATGTATAAAAACAAATGATGCCTTCTAACCACACTCACACCTGAATTAACAAGTCATAAAGAGGAAAATAGGGGGCTCACAAACACCATTTTACTTTTATGGAGAACACTTGTAGAGTTTATGAGGATGGAAGAGGTACTTGTTTTTTTCTGCTTCACCCCTCTGGGCCTGCTCTCTCTTGTTCCACCATCGGGGCTTTTTCTGCATTAGTCACCCAGTGAATGAGCGCTTAGTCTAAGGGGAGCTGCTCTTCTGCATGTGTTTCAGTTAAAGGGATAGTCTGGTGGGGTTTGTAGTGACGTTCTGTTAAATTATTATCAGTTGCTGCTTGGACATCTGCCACAGAGCAAAAAGTGGAAACAGACCAGGTCTTTTGTCCAGGCTAAGCTAATGTAGCTAATTTTTTCACTTGTTTTTAAAGGCTTATGAAGCAAATCGTTCTGAAAAATTAAAAAAGTGAGAAGGCTGATTAGCTAATATTATACCTCCAGACTGGTGGTGTCCGATTCTGGTCTCCGAGGGCCACTGTCCTGCAGGTTTTAGATGTTTCCCTGCTCTTCAATGTGTCTTAAAGTTCTATAGTAGCCAATCAATCAATCAATCAATCAATTCAGTTAAGTTTTCTCAGGGCACTGAACAGAAACATTCACATACATAGAAAAGCCAATTAGTAAAGTTCTCTCTGTAAGGAAGCAACAGACTCGGTGAATCTTCACTTGGTCGCAGTCTCCCATCCTGAGCAAGCACAGTGGCAACAGTGGAAAGGAAAAACTCTCTTTTAACAGGAAGAAACCTCCAGCAGAACCAGGCTCAGGACAAGTGGCCATCTGCTTCGACCGGCTCAATTGCTTAGTCCACGTTCACACTGCAGGTCTCGGTGCTCATCTCCGATTTTTTTTTCTCGTTTGGTCCAGTGCATGCATTTATTCTTGATGCCTCTTGACGGCTCCTCCAGCGCATTGTTCTATTTCTGTAATGACAGCGACGTACTGAAGGTAAATCAAACTCAAGTATGTATCCCATCACGTTAACATCAATACAGTCTGACGCTAATGTTTGTATCATACGTTGCTGTAGATTCTCAGTCATCCAGGACATGGGAAATTAAAAGAACAAAGATGAAGCAACAGGACGTTTGTTCTGTAGCTGAATTCCAGGATTTAAATTGCACAAAGTGGGTATCATCATTATTAATACTTGGATCGATCGTGTATCTCATACCTCACTTATGTAGAAGTTGGATTAAACGCGGCATGACCATTCAAACTGCAGTTGCTTTAAAAAAAATTAAAAAAAACATCAAATATGTATCCAGTTCAGTACCACATATGAAAATGATCCGAGTTGGATTTGAAAAAAAAATCAAAGTTCAGACTTGCGGCCCAAAGACGTTGGATTTGAGCCACTTTTGCCGACAAAGCAAATAAATATCCAAAGCATTCAAGATAGTAACCTCCAAGGACCAGTTTTGGACACCACTGCTTTAATAGAAGGGTCTTTTTCATGATAGACATTTAAAGACAAATCACAGAATGATTAACTTTTGTTTTTTCTGTAAAATCAGCTCTTTCAAGCTTTCGGGGGCTTTGGGATTTTGCTCAATTAGGCTTTAATTCTACGTTTCTGCTCTCCTAGCCGCCTTCTGAGGAGAAGATCAATGGGATCTTATTGGGCTTTCGGATCCGCTACCGGGAGCTGCTGTACGATCGTCTCCGCGGTTACATTCACACGTTCAACAGTCTGTCGTCGTGGGCTGAGCTGAATGGTGAGTGGGGAAAACTTCTGCTAACACAATAAATCACTTTTACAGGGCCACCTGCTTCATTGAACACAACTGCAAATACATTTTACACTCTTCGTATTTCCATTTAGAAAACGCTTTGAAAAGCTCACCGTAAAGAATCACAACAAAGAAACTGAAATTTCTGCATTAAAAATAATATCAGCTAAACTATAATGAAAGAAATGTGCAGTTTCCGCACTTTACTCCAGTAACACATAATTATAGGACTCCGTCACGGTTGATTATTCCTATGTCAGCAGCACCATTATTTCCATTAGAGGAAAACTGTCACACAGGCCCATTCTGTTGCCAAGATATCCCCGCTGGTCTTGACACTTCACAGCAAAACATTTCATCTTGTGATCAGTGGTTATCAGCCGCAGGCTATTATTAGGTTTACTCAGGAGCCGCTCTGTTTCCAGCACTCTGTGCAGCGCGGCCTGTAATTTGACTCGTGTCGAGTCATTCTGAGGCTAATTCAGAGCCATGATCACGGTGATTGTTTGGGGTTATTGTGACGATAGCTCTGCCTTTGCTCAGCAGGGAAAGTGTTGGAGTTTGAAACATGATCCAAGTGTCTCCTCACCAAGTTGTATTCCTTTAATTACTTTTTTCCACCTCTCTTTCTGCAGCCCCCTTCAGCATCCGGAATCTGAGCGATCCAACTCTCACTCAGTACGAGTTGGAAAGTAAGTTTTGTTTCCATCTCGTTCAGATACGCACAAACACTGTTAGGATAATTTATTGTTATCCTTGTAATAGCTCCTTAAATAAATGTGCCACACAGGAGAGGTAGATATTTTCTTAATCCCAGGTTTTAATCTTGCAAGATGGAGCAGTGTTGAAATACAAGCATCGAAATGTTACATGACGCTCCGTCCCAAGTCTGCTCACCGAGAGCCTAAAAGAGCGTCTTTTTATAAGTTATCAGACAAAGACATGGTCAGACGAAACAAACAAAACAACTCTTTAACACACACACATGGTAATATGAGTTATAGCCTTTGACTTCAGTAAGTGAAAAACATCTGTGACTTACATCTCCATCAAACACACTCACACACGTGATTTACCATAATTTCCGGTCTATAAGCCGCTCTTTTCACAGGCTTTAAACACCGCGGCGTATACAATGCTGCGGTTAATTTATGGATTTTATTTGTTTATTTATTTTTTGACGGGCTAACGAGCTTCATGCGGCCAAAACATTTAGCCTCGTTACCTTTAGCCAAGCTGCCCAGTACATGTCTGTCTTGGGGGGTGGGTCCTCGTGACTCAATGAGACTACCTGTATAAATACAGGTTAAAAAAATCTGACCAGTGAAATTACCAAACAGGTCACAGTGGGGAACGGGGATCTTTGTTGAAGTTAGCGATCAATGACTTCCTGGTAGGCTACTGTGTTTTCTTTATTTTTTTTTAACTATCTGTGTTACAGACACTGTTCCAAAAAATAAAATAAAAATACAAATTTGTGTATGTAACTGGTACGTATTTAACTAAAAGTTTAAAAATATATATATGTATGTGTAAATATCTCATATTACTATGTGGACACCCACAGCTTATACACAAGTGCAGCCTATACATGTACAAATTTATATATATATTTTTATTTAGTGGGCGCGGCTTATATTCGGGCGTGCTCAATAGTCTGGAAATTATGGTAATTCCTAAACAAATAAGATTTAAAATCTGCATTTACTTTTGGATCTCATATTTCCTGTGCTAGCGAATACTGATCAAGGGAACACATAGATTTAAGCAAATTGACACAACTTTTGGCTGTTTATCGCTACTTTGCATCAGAGCAAACACTTCCACTGAGGCAAGTGGAAGATTTACAAACAGCTCTGAGTTTGCGAGCTTGACAAGCTCAACATACTTGCTGGTTTGCACATTTCTGTTGATTTAGAAAAACAACTGCGAAAGCAGATGGTCACATATTTTTCCTGTACTTTCAAACTGCAGCATTCATCTTCCCTATAATTAGAGCTTCTGTAGGTAATTGAAGCCAAAATAAATCTTTTTCTTTTAGGTAAAAATGATTTGCAGCAGAATGTTCTGGTTTAGGTCATTGTAACAGTGTGGTGTGTAGGTGGGAATTCATTATGCGATTCTTATTTGTTTTTACTGATTTTAGCTAATTGACACCCGGTGAGGAGATGAGGAATGACATCGCACTGATGAAAAAGAATCACAGATATAAAGTAAAATAGTTTTAGTGTTGTCCCAGCCCTAAATGTTTAATTGTTTTCCTCTACTGCAGAATTAAGTAAACATAAGCGCTACGAGATACATATGAGTGTGTACAACGCTGTGGGCGAGGGGCCAAGCAGCCCACCCCAGGAGGTGTTTGTTGGAGAAGCAGGTATGTGCGCTTCTTGTTTTTCCAGTCACCATTATCATAATTAGGCACAAAAGAGACATGATTTCCAACTTTTGAGTTGATTTTTCTATGCTGAAATGCTGTATTTCTCTGGAAATTATATGTTCGTGACAGAAAAAGATGAGGAAAACAGATTTTTTTGTGGCGTAGTGTAGGTTTATTGTAGGGAAAGATTGCAAAACATCAAATTCAAACCCATGATCTGAACTTGAATAAACAGTTTTAGATTTAGCTTGTTAAAACAAGACACGCTGGAGCTACTTTAAAATGAAGTGTTGGTCCAACATTGTACAAAAACACTTTACGTTGCTCACTTGATTTTGATTTTATGACTTGAAAGGGTTGTCGTCCACATGGAAACTGCATTTTAGAAGCCTCGAAACAATTGTTTTAAAGTGAGTTCCACAGTAAATTATAAAAAATCTTAAAACACTACTCTTTCCAGTTGTTTACATTTTGCTTTATGCACATGCTCCACACCTTGTTTCCTGTTTTTGTTGGAATCTCTTGGCAGCATTACAGCGCCACATAAAGGCCTGGCATAGTTACTAAGGTGCTTTTTTGTCATTTTGGTGTTTCTGTGTGGATGGCGTTTTTAGAAACGGTGCTGTGTTTACAAAGATATTTTTATAAACAAATCAAGAGAATGTTTTGGGAAAACTATGTTTCCATGTGGACACGCCCTGAAAAAAACCACTTGTGAATTATTATTTTTAGAAAGCTTATTATTTGCTGTATTGTTTTGTCCTTGGCTACAGTACCAACAGCCCCACCGCAGAATGTTGTCATTCAGTCAGCAACAGCCAACCAGCTGGACGTGGTGTGGAACCCTCCTCCTGTTGATGCACAGAATGGAGACATCCAAGGTTACAAGGTCAGCTGACTGAACTGTCATCATACATACACAAGTGTATGTCTGTTTGTCATCCATCTATCCATCCATTTATTGATCCAATTATCTATCCATCTATCCATCTACTGTATCCATCTGTCTGAGTGTCCATCTATCTGTCCATCCATCCATTCGTCTTTCAATGATGAAATATCTCTCTTACAGACAAACACAAACTCACAGATGTGCAAACATTTCATGCTTTGCCTCCACCTTTCGACAACTGGAGATGATTCCCATTAAACTGACTTTACTTCATATTTGGCCGCCACGACTTTTCATTAGAAGCTCGTGTTTGTTGCTCAAGAAAACAAGCAGGGATGATTTAAAAAAAAAAATTGTTCCTAAAATTCATGTATGCCTGTTTATCTGCTTAGATTTACTTCTGGGAGTTCCAGCGTAAGAACGAGACGGAGCGTCTGCGGACTCTTTTCATGCCTGAACGAGGGGTGAAACTGAAGAACTTGACAGGTTACACCACCTACATGATCAGCGTGGCCCCCTTCAACGCTGCCGGGGACGGACCCCGAAGCCCACCGACTAGGGGACGCACCCAGCAAGCAGGTAAAGCCCTCCCAACAATTATCAATAGAAATTCAAATTCTTTAATCCGTGTGAAAGAGCAGAACAGTCTGGATTAAGTGCAATCAAGCAAGACAAGCATTTCTGTCTGGAGAGAACAGAAACACGATGCTCTGGGAAAGAAGACGACAAATGGAACAGGATGACATGACAAAAGCGGATAAATTGGAGCGTGTACGATTATGCTCGTTCATTAGTCACGTTTCCGTGTTGGCGGCGGCGCCGATGTTAGCTTGGAGAGCCCTTGGAGTTCTCCAAGCAGACGAGCCAACCCCCAGGAAAGAATTTGATGCGACAATGATGCTAATCACTGTTGTCATCGTGTCAAACAATGTTAGCCGAACGACACGACTGAGCATAAGTTTCAAATCGGCTGACCCCAGTCAGACCTCGTTCACCGATGTCTGTGTTTTGTCTGAATTATAAAAGGTATGAAAATGTTTCAGAGTACAGGCGTGACCCTTTTTTCCTGACTCATGGGACTCCTGCGTGTTCTCCCGTCTGCAGACATGTCAAAACAATGTTCAGCTCTAAAAAACAACTCTCTCAGAGGGAGGCTTTTTGATGGACAAAGCCCTAGACAGGTAAAATTTTTACAACAAGGGTGTTTACAGCTTTTCAGTTACTCCGGTGAAGTAGGTGACAAGCAAGAGGATGCGCTTGGGAGACAGTTGTCCCATCTTTTTAGAAAACAAAGAAGCTTCAGCTCCCGTTTGACAAGTTTAAAGACAAACAGGGCAGACTGTGTTCTAAGCACCAGCTCAGCCGTTTGTAATGAGGTCTTGAGGCTGGTTGCTGTGTCTGTGGATTACCGCGACCTGGGTCAGACAGTGTTTGTCAGTGAAGTGGACCCTTTTAACCTGGTTGTATTTTAGTAATACTGCAAAGTTGAACCAGTCAATGTTGTTCAGTTTGTGTGCAAGGACAGAGACTCAGGTGAGAGCCAAGAACTTTTAGTTGCAGCATTCATACTTTGACTGTTTTGCCTCTGGAAGTGCAGTAAGAAAGGCCCAAAGCTTTAGCTGTTTGGTTTGGAGGGAAGAACGCAAACACTGAGCTTAGGCAAACACAAAGCGGCTTCTTTCTGTAATGATTTAAATTAGGGATGCATAATATTATCGGCCGATGTTAGCGTTAAAGTTAAATATCGGACATGGGCCATTCCATCAAAAATAACTCATCGATATAAAATATGCTGGTTTTGTATGACAATCCAGTGACAAGGATGCCTGCAGCGCCAGTACAACGTGATGACGTCACACGCACCTACCTGATCTGATCACGGCGAAGAGGAAGAAGTCAAAATGTCGTCGGTGTGGAAGTTTTTGTTGTTGTTGAGGACGTCGGATTCCAAATTTTTTTGGACTACGTTGAGCCTCGCTACATCGTTCCCAGTCTGAGATATTTTTCCGGCGTAGCCTTACCCAAGTTAAAAGCCATCATTTCTGATGTCATTGAGAAGCTAATAGCCAATATCACTTGGGTGAGTTGTACCAGACATTTGGGCGTCGTGTTAGCCCCGTTAGCATGATTAGTCTTACGACACAATGGATAGACAGAAACTTTGAACTTAAAAAGTCTGTCCTTCATGCACAGGAGTGCAGAGGATCCAACACTGCAGCTAGAACCTGGAACAAGCCTCCACAAGTGAGACAGCATCACAGATGACTGATGCTAATAAATAATATTTAACGCTTTTCATTTAATATAAGTTAACGTGATATGCATATGGCTGTTACTGAAAATATGTCATCAGCTCTTACAGCTGTTGCACAATTTTTGTAGCAAATAAGCCAAAGGAAAGTACATAAAAAATATTGGTATCAGATATTGGCCAAAAATCCAATATTGTGCATCCCTAATTTAAAATGTTTCACTCTATAATACATTCACCAGTCTGTCAGTACACTTGCAGATATGTCTCTCTGAGCCCTGACTACTGTTTAGATCTGTTCTTTATGTTTTGCTTTGCTCTGAGGTATTTCTGACAGAAACACATCACAGTGTTTTGTTCATTTTCAAAGTTTTTTTTTTTTAATCTTAAAAACATAATTTAAATTAAACACCAAGTATTCCTTGAAGGAATGTAATTCGCCTGCAGCCTTTCAAGCCACAGTTTTAAATTAAGATTGTCATGTTATTTTCACTTGTAAAAAAAAAAAAAAAGGAAAAAAAGTGTTTAATTTGTAAACATCCTTTACGATTGTCTATTGTTGTCGTCGTTGTCCACTGTTGTCATCTTTCTTTGTTAAAATTCAGGTCTCTCTTGTAAATGAGTCTCCGAGGCTCAATGGGATGAACCTGTTTAAATAAAGGTTGAATGAATGAATGTTGAAAATTGCAGGAATCATTCGCAGCCTTCAAAATAATATTGGACTCAATCTCTTGAAATTTAGTGATATCTTACGTGACTTGTTAGTGCTTGGAGTATGTGTTGTGGATGACTCTCGGCTACTACCACACCAAATGTGAACTTGGATGTCTGTAAAATCATTAGTTATTTTACTTTGGTTATTTTTGTATTTCCTAGGGTCACTTGGTTTTGGCAGCCATCTTGAATTGGGTTGAGTTCTAAAGTAAATCAGTTTTAGATGTCAACCAAATGATTGTTTCCAGAACATTTTATTAAAAGGTGTTCAGTGGTTCAAAATGTATTTTACTAACAGAGTTGATTCAAATTATGACAAATTTTAAAACAGAGCTCTGGTTCGATCAGTTATAGTGCTTTGCCACTGTCTCAACTCTCATTGGTTCTGCACCACACTGCACCAGTTAAGGGCTTGCCCACTGCTGGTACCCACCCTCTTTCAGACTGGTTTATGGGACCACCATGTTCATGGTTCCAAAAGGGGCTGCTCCGAGGGGCTGATTTTGGCATAGACAGCAGCCATTGATTGGCCAACGAAGCTACGTCACTGGATGACCCACCCAGCAAAACTGCAAACTGCATCTGAACCGCCACTTCCTCATTGTGTTGACGGACAGCACCACAAAAAATTAGTGCATTTACAAGAGTTATCGAAGATGATGGCGCAGCATAGCTACACCCAGACTTATAAGCAGTGCTGATATAAGTTAAACAAAATGAAGTCTGACTATAGGGCGATTACAGCCCACAACGAATCAACCTGCTAACTTAATTGCACCACTCGGGGTGGCTGCATGTTGGAGTAGCTTTGTTACTTTCATTCTGTTTTATTGCTTTTGAAAACTTTAATTCCTCTCTTTTTCTGGATGTAAATTGCTTTTTTTGGATGATTATTTACTCTGGTATCAGATGCTGTGCAGCTGGAAGGATTTTTACTGAAAAGTTTTTACTTTTGAGCATTTATTATGATGCGTAACCGTGGCAACAAGGTATTTAACAACCAGGAGCAGCTGATTGACATCTCAAAAACTCAAATACCTGAACTACAGCCCCAAATCCCAAATGAGTTGAAAAGGAGGTGCCGTGGATGGATTCCCATCAACCTGGCGGCGGTGCTCCAGTGCCTGACTGCCAAGATCCTGGAGCTGGTGGGAAACTCTGCTGGTGACAACGGGCGGACCAGGATATTCCCCAGCACCTTCAGCTATCTGACCGTGGTGACGAGGAGCTCAGCAGACTGCTGGGAGGAGTGACCATCACTCAGGGAGTAATTCTGCCCAGCATTCGGGCAGTCCTGCTGCCCAGGAGGACCGAGAGGCCCGCCGGATCTGACAGCAAGCTCAATCCGGGTGGACGGATCAGTATCTGTGGCCAGATTCTTCGGCTTCACTGTAGGAGATCCTTCCTGCCCACAGCTATCAGCATCTATAACTCGTGAATGAAACTAGGATGATGAGCTAGGACAACACTTAATTTCCCTCTGGGATTAATAAAGTATTTTTGAATTGAATTGAACAAAGCTGGGTTAGAATTAAATCACGTTGAGTTGGTTCAGATTGGTTCAAAGTGGTTGGTTGGCTCTGAGTTCGGAGTAGCTCGAACACAATGACCCGTTACAATACCCCCTACTTTGCTTTGGAGATCCCACCCACAGAGCAGGGAAACAAGTCATAGTGGATCACCTCCACCTGAGAAGAGATGAGAATAAGTGGAATTGTGCTTATCAATGGAAACGCAGCTATAGAGCTCAAAGTACAAATTAGGAGTCAGTCTCAGCTACTACCACACCAAATATCAGCTCAGTATCTGTGAAGCTGACTTTGTTAAAGCCATTTTTGTTTTTTGCTTATGTTGCTCTGCTGCTGTGGCCATCTTGACTTGACTCTAAATGTTAATAAACAAACAGATCAGTTCACTGATTGTGTTTTCTGTACATTCCAGCTCCGAGCGCTCCGAGTTTTATCCACTTCAGCGAGCTGACCACCTCCTCGGTCAACGTGTCCTGGGGCGAGCCCACCTTCCCTAATGGCATCATTGAGGGTTTCCGTCTGGTATACGAACCCCTGACACCCGTAGATGGTAATCCTTCATTTTTACAGACGAACTTTCTCTGCACAAAATCTCTTCTATGGGAGTTTGTACCAAAGGAGAATTCTGCCTTTGTTGCGATAAAGTAATTTAACTTTGGCAAACACCTGTTTATGTGCACATTTCTTAAGCTAAAAACAAACATTGCATTGACCTGAACAGATCATTTGTTGTTGTGACTCTTAAATAATCGGTGACGACTATAACATTGTCATATCTGTGCATGTGTGAGTGTGCACTTGTTTTGTTGTTTGCCCACCTCCCCTGTTGGCCGGCCTGTGTGAGACCTGCTTTAAATGTGGTGTGTTTGTCTAGACTCCTCAGTGGCCTGTGCCGACTGTCTTCACTCCCCCTCACCCCCAGGCGTCAGTAAGACAGTGACAGTGGACGTGAGGGGGAGTGGCCCCCTCTGGCTGAAGCTCAGAGACCTGGCGGACGGCGTCACGTACAACTTTCGGATCCGGGCCAAGACCTTCATCTACGGGCCGGAAGTGGAGGCCAATATCACCACCGGACCAGGAGAAGGTAGCTGCAGGGAAGTTGTAGAATTGAAGGAATATATTTTTGTCAAGTGGGGTTGGTTGGAGTAGCGAGGAGCAGTCACTGTCTCACTTGCAGTAGACGGCGATCAAAGAAATCCCAGAGTATAGACTAAAATAGTGTTTTGTTGAGAAATGATGGAGTTGCATTGAAAAGGCCATTATGTATGTATGTATTATTACATTATTATTATTAAATTATTATGATATTATGTAAGTATGTGTTGTAAGTTACTCTCAGCTTAAACCGCACCACGTTTGAGCTCAATGTTTGTAAAAGTGACTCAGTTTTAGATATTTTTGAGTTGGCTGATGTCATTTAGCAGTGGTGGCCATGTTGAATTTAATCAATAATCAGTTGTAGATATTTATTTATTCTAAAAGTTTCAATAGAACCTGTCCTGTGGGTTGAGATATTTTGCTGACAAACAAAAGGTTGACTAATAGTTGGTGCTTTAGTTTTAAACGATGATCTTGTGCAGTGAGTAACACTTGGAGTATGTGTTGTGACACTCGGCTACAACAACACCAAATAGTTCAGTATCTTTAAAAAGAACTCAAATGTCATTCTGTTTTGTTTTTTTAATGTTAGTTGGTGTTGGCAGCCATCTTGAATTGAGTTGACTCTAAAAGCTAATCACTTCTATAGATGCATTTCATACTTATAACCAAAAAGACTTAAAATCTGTTGAGTGGGTCCTGAAATATTTTGCTAACAGCCAGTTTATTATACATATTATAAATAGTTAATGGCAAAATGTTAACCAAAGATCTATTACTGCTCAAATTGTTACAGCTCAGAATACAGGTTCAGTCTCAGCTGCTACAAACAAAAAGTTGGGTTAGTATCTTTAGAACTGAGAGAAATATCACTATTTTGGGGTGAGATTAAGGTCAATTGGCTGTGGCAGCCATCTTGAATTTTGAACTTTAAAGTGTGAGTTGTTTTAGACTAAGAACATTTTTGCTTGATGGGTTCTACTTCTAAATTGCTGTTAGCCTGAGTCCATCATAAGAATAATTTTTAAATCTTCAAACTGAGACGACTCTGACTGCTATCTGTTGCAGGTCAGATACTGACTGCTCATAACCACTCCACACAACTACATATTTTAAAATACAAGTATCTTTCAATAATTGATTTGCAACGTTATTATTCCTCCTCAGGAGCCCCAGGACCCCCTGGAGAACCATTTATCACACGCTACAATTCAGCTCTGACCATTCACTGGACCAGCGGTGACCCAGGACGGGCTCCCATAACACGCTATGTCATCGAGGCCAGACCCTCAGGTGGGAGTCTTGGATGATCGCCATGTTATTTTAGCTGTCGTGACAATGTACATAAGGCAAGCCATGTAAAATGATGACATCTGCTGCCTCACAGTCTGCGTCCCCGGTCTTTTAATGGCTTATTGATTCAGCGACTGCAGTTGAGAGAATTGGCATCCTGTTTCAGCCGTGAGTGACACGTTGTGACAGGATGAGGAGGGTGATGGATGATGGGAGTTTCTCAGGGGGCAGGGGGTTGTTGTTTCACTGGTTCCAGGTAAAAACAAAAACAGCCCTACATTTCAGAAGCAGAGGACTGCTGGATAATGATGCACACACCTCTGCATTCGCTCCTTTTCTTAGTCATCAACCGGAGAATCTCTGGAGTGTTGTTGTACAATGTGACAAGTTTTGTCCTCAAATCAAAATGCATCATTCTTTAAAAAAAAAAAAAAAACTTTTCTCGAAGTTCAGCAGCATGACGGATGAACTCCGGTGCTTGTTTATGTATGTGTGCCTCATTAAAAGTGTCGCAGTTACATTGATATTTACAAGCAGCGATGTATAATGAATGATCTCTGACAAGATTTTCATAGCAAGCCGCAAGTCATCTAACTCTGCCCCGTCTGAAAAATGGCCGCGCAGCTGTTTATATTGTTGATTTGCTTGCCGTATTTTTATTTTTTTTCACAAGAGCTTTAAAACTGATGGATTGTGTAATATTTGAAGGGAGTATCAATTACTCTGAGAGCTGCAAGCCTGCTAAATGTTTTCTACCAAAAAGAAAGCAACGACCTGTTAGCTGGGGTGCCCTAACTTTAACTGGTTTGGTGTCTGAATATTTTTCTACTCCTCTTGCCTGAAGGAAAAAATATTAATTCTGTTCCAGATGAGGGTTTGTGGGACATTTTAATAAAGGACATACCAAAGGATGCAACATCACACACCTTCAGTATGGACATCCTCAAACAAGGCGTCAGCTATGACTTCCGTGTAATTGGAGTCAACGACTACGGCTATGGCTCGCCAAGCCTACCTTCTCCTTCGATATCTGGTGAGCTTTCATGTCTTTGTTAATTAAAACTGAATTATATTACATTTCAAACTAAATTAAATGCCCGCAGGTCTTCGGAGACTTCACAGAAACACATCTACGTGTTTTTTTTAACGAGCATGAATTTCAATTTTCTGCATCTCGCTTTTAGCTCAGAAAGTGGCCCCGTTCTACGAGGAGTGGTGGTTCCTGGTGGTGGTGGCGCTGGTGGGGCTCATCTTCATCCTGCTGCTGGTTTTCATCCTCATTATCAGAGGACAGAACAAGAAGTACGCTAAAAAGTCTGAGTCAGGTGAGTGCACATGCATTCTTTCTGAAA